GATAACAGTTTGGTGCAGCTGTCGTCTTTGGCTCTTGAGGACAACGAGGATCAGTCGAGCCTGGATAACATCTTGGCTTAGTTGAGGTTACAGGAGGACGCTGTGTAGTGATTGATGGACGTCGTGTAGTTGGTGGAAGGTAAGTCGCTGGCTGACAATCAGGATCGGTCGATCCTGGATAGCATTTTGGCTTCGATGTTGTAATGGGTTCCAGTTGACAACGAGGATCTCGTGATCCAGGATAGCAGTTAGGTGAGACTGTTGTCTTTGGCTCTTGAGGACAACGGGGATCAGTCGAGCCCGGATAGCACCTTGGTGTCTTTGTCGTTGCTGGGGGGCGAATCGTTCCTGGCTGACAATCGGGCTCTGTTGAGCCAGCAGAACAACGTGGCTTGGCTGGCTCTATTAACTCCTCTCCGCAAGCGAAGTTTTTTTCGCAAGCGCCATTACACAGTTCAATATCACATTTTAAGTACACCTGAGATCGATCGGGGAACTTGAAAGCTTTAAGCGTATTATAATAAGTTAACGTTTGGCCAGAAGATGACTCAAATTTCTTCCACTGCCCAAATACTTTTGTCTTTAAAGAGCATCCATTTTTATCGGAAAGCTGCAATTTGTTTGCGGTGCCTGTATCGAAATCAGGGTCATCAGAAGCATAGCATTGCAAGATGTTAATATCCCAGGTCTGTGTTGTCTGTTTGACATTTATAGTAAATGTTATATCCGTGCCCAGCTTTAAAGTATAGTTAATTGGCTTGATATTCGGTGGGAGACCTGTGCCTATCTCCATCCAGCACTCAACTGGACCGCTTGGAGTCTCTACCGATATTACCTCCAGCATGTCGACAACAAATGGCCGAAAATACACAGTCTTCTCCTGTTCATCGCTGCGACTGCATGTGATCTTGCGTGCCGTGTCCCAGCTCTCTTGAATATCCTGGTCGTTCTGTATGATTAGAATATTGTCCACAGAAGCGCATATAGAACAGGATGGCTTGCTGCCACAGCCATCGAAGGGCACTTTGAAAACGAATCGACGCTCATTACTTCCAGCGCTCACATATCTAGAAAAGAGTGGCTAAGTCAATCAAATTGAAGCCATTCAAATTCAACATACCTGCACTTGGGATCATTGTAATATCCTTGGCTGTATATCACTCCATTAAAGATCTCAGCGAATTCCACTTCGACTATCATACCATTCGACGTATCGCATTTGACGTCGATCTTCTCAATGTTCCCGTCGTATGCGGTGCTTTTCCGCGATACTCGGGGGAACGATAATGCCACCTCGGCTGGGCTGACTTCATTATCGACATAATCATCGGCTTTCCTCAGATCTGTGCCGCCAGCAATGACCTTTCAAATGCAATAATAAATTAATTGGAATTCAATACATTTGGCGTTTTTGCGCGTTCCATACCAAAAGCTGAGTCAAAAGTATTATCTGGCCAGCTCTGACCATTTTCAGTGGATTGTCGCTCAATCTAAAACCTGTTGCAAATTAAACGTAAATGTAATTAAAGTTGTTTTTTTTTTTCCTCTTCGAATATGCATAAGTATTATTATAAAATAATAGTAGCTGCTAATTCTTTGTACAAATATATACTATATATAGATATATGTATAACAATAGACATTAACATAATTATATATGCAAATCGCTGCCGAAAATATTAATCTCCAATGATCAATGATCATTTATATCTCGCGTTTCTTGACAGCTAAATATATATGTATGTACTTTAATAAAATATCATTCAGAATTATTTAGTCCCTGGAATGTGGCAGAACGAATACTTAAGCTATAAAGATCGACTTTATGTTATGGCTTCAAGGTAAATCTGATTTGCTTATATTTTATTAATTATTAATTTTAGTTTTTTTTT